CCTTTTTAAGAAATATATAAAAAGCAGTCATTTTGTAAGCTCAATAGAGTACTAATGGAAAAGGGTATGTAATTGGCATAATTTGTAAACTGTATCCATCCACCAATTTACTGCTGACACAATCTATGTTACATTCAATGCCTGCATATTTACATCAGATCTACAGCAAAGTAAATACAAAATAAATTCACCTTATTTTAGTTAAAGTGGGCTTTAGTACCTATATGATATAGTTTCAAAACAAAGAGAATTTTTTAAAACTAAGAAACTGGTGTTTTCCCAAGACCGAGTTGCTACTTTTTGCAAAAGACATTATTATGTTTCCCACTCATGTTTGATCAGTAAGATATGTTCCCACGTGGCTGAACTTCAGCTAAAGTTTTAGATTTGAATAACCAGTTAGGATACTTTTGACTTATAATTAAATTTTTAAAAACAGGTGCTTTTAAATGCACACACACGTGCGCATATATGTACTTTTTTGGCATTTTTCAAGTCTTCCGAAGTTACTGTTTAAAAACCAGTTTCCCGGGGCGCCTGGGTGGCGCAGTGTCGGTGCCAACCGACTGCGCCAGCCAGGGTCACCGACCATCCGTGGTGTCCAGAGTTCGCCTGAACAGCCCCGTGATCTGCTCTGGGCTGATAACTGGAGCCTGACATTTGTTTCCCGAGCCCACTCTCCACTCTGCCTCTCCCGCCCATGTGTTTCCTGTCTGTTCTCTGTCCCTGCAATAAAAAAAAAGTTGGAAAAAAAAAAATTTTAAAAACCAGTTTCCCAAGTTTTACACCCAGAGATCTAATTCAGTAGATTTGGGGTGGGGCACAGGAACTGGCATTTTAAACCATCATTGTATTTGTTTTCTGGGCTGGGTAACAAATTATTACAAGTTCAGCATTTTAAACCAACACTTATTTATTATCTGGTAGTTTCTGTGGGTCAAGGGCCCAGGCAAGGCTTAGCTGATTCTTCTGCTGGGGTCTCACCTGGCTTACCTCCAGGTTTTAGCTGGGGCCACAGTGCCACTGGGGATTCAAATGGGGAAAGATCCACTACCAAGCTCCCTCAGGTTGTTCTTTGTTGGCAGAATTCATCTCCTTGCGGTTCTAAGACTGCGGGTCTAAGGTTTTCTTGCTGGCTGTCACCTGGAGATCACTTCTCTTCTAGAGGTTAATTGTAGAGATCACTCAGCTTCTAGAGGCTGCCTGCAATTTCCTGGTAAATTCTTCAAAGTCAGAATGGGAGTCTCTCTCTAGTCTGCTAAGTTACGATTAAACACGCACACGTATGCACATACATAAGTATGACACAATATTCACATACATGCTACATTCACGTGTACATATTTTTAAATATATTTTTTTAAAGTAATCTCTACACCCAATGTGGGGCTCGAACTCATGACCCCAAGATTAAGAGCTGTACGCTCTACCGACTGAGCCAGCCAGGCACCTCACACGTACACATCTTATATGGTAAATATACGTAGTGTGTATATATACTTATAAATGCATATACAGACAGTACACATCATATATAAAGTAACTGCTCTATAAATCACTCTGAGAAACACAATATTGTGTCTATCAAGCTATTAACAATTTAGTTGAGCACTTTATTGTTTTTGTTTCTTTTTAGAGAGAGAGTACAAGCAGGGAAGGAGGAGAGGGACAGAATCTTAAGCAGGCTCCACGCATAGCACAGAGACTGATGTGGGCTCAATGTGGGGCTTGACATGGGGCTCGACACACATACGTGTGTGTGTGTTTAAGTGGGATCATGACCTGAGGCGAAATCAAGAGTTAGTTGCTCAACCGACTGAGCCACCCAGGTGCCCCATTAAATTGAGCACTTTTAAGTGACAGTGTCCTTTAAGTCCTAACAAATCCTGCCCGACAAGTGTTTTAACAAATGTTTGAGAAACAAACTTAGCCTTTGAAACCGATATTCTTTATTTAAAGTCCAAATCAAGTGAAATGTGATGATAATTTATTCATCAAAGAAGTGAAAAACTCAAACAATTTAAACCTTTAAACAGACCAGTCTTAAGATTCGACGCTTGCTCCATTCACGGCCTGACATACAATCAAGGATAGTGCAGTAGTTTCCAACTGCTCTGTAACAAATCACCAAAAATGTAGTGGCTTAATACAACATACATTTATTAGCTTACAGTGGCGGCAATCAGAAGTCTAAAATGGATCGGCAGGGCTATGTTCTTCTGGAGACTCTAGAGAAAAATCCATGTACTTGCCTTTTCCACTTCTAAAGGCTGCCTGCATTCTCGGCCCATGGCCCCATGTCACACAGACCTCTGCTTCTGTTGTCACTTCTCCTCTAACCCTCCCCCCACTCCTGCCTTCCTCTTATAAGGACCCTTGTGATAACATTCAGCCTTCCCCTCTAGGGTCATCTAGGATACTCTTCACATCTCAAGATCCTTTTTTTTTTTTTTAATGTTTATTTATTTATTTTGAAAGAGGGGGGGGAGAGAGAGAGAGAGAGAAAGAGAGAGAGAGAGAGGGAGCAAGCAAGGGAGGGGCAGAGAGAGAGAATCCCAAGTAGGCTCTGCACCATTAGCACAGAGCCCAATGCAGGGCTCTGATCTCACCAACGGAGATCATGACTTGAGCTAAAATCAAGAGTCAGATGCATAACCAACTGAGCCACCCAGGCACCCCTCAAGATCCTTAATCTAATCTGCAAAATCTATTTTTGCCATGTAAGGTAGCATATTCCCTGGTTCTAAGGACTCGGATGTGGACATCTTTCGGGGACCATTATCCTGTCCACCATAGAAAGTGAGTCCAGCCTAACAGAAATGTAAGATACATATCGTAATCATATGTCTTCCTATGTTTCAGTACATTCCCTATACCAATAGATATTGGAGACCCAATAGGGTATTGGATAATACTTAATACACTTTGTATTTTGTACAGTGAAACTTCATATTTTTCCTCACATAACACATTCTACATATAACGTTGCAAAAGGATTCTAAGAAACACTAAAGGGAAGGGGGGCTGGATGGTTCAGTCGGTTAAGCATCCAACTCTTGACCTCAGCTCCCGTCATGAGCTCATGGTTTTTTGTTGAGTTCAGGCCCTGCATCAGGCTCTGCATGGCCAGCGTGGAGCCTGCTTGGGATTCCCTCTCTCCCTCCCTCCCTCTCTCTCTGCTTCCCCCTTGCTCATACGCTCTCTCAAAATAAATAAATAAACTTAAAAAAATAAAAATAAAAACCACTAAAGATATAATACCGTTGCTTTTTTAAAAGAAGTTTTCACTAATTTTTTTTTTTATCAAGACTTTGTAATTATCTACAAGGTAGGTACTTAGGTGTCTATCCTTTTGTGAATTTTGTAAAAAGCACAAGGGAAAGTGACTACATGTAAGACAATACAACCAGTCCCTAAACAGACAGAGCTAGTGATTAGACCCTCCTTTTGGAGATTTGGGTTCGTTATCTGCTCATCTGTTTGACAACGATGTCTCCTCTATCTCAATGTATATTACTAGTACTAAATCTTGTAAAGATTAAAGCATATTTAAGTGTGATAGCCTCACCACTTCAGCTGCACAAGAACTGAAAGATAACAAGAAAGGTGTAGTGGGGAGTTAGATTCCAGGAAGTAGACAGTGTATAGGGTTAAGGGAACTTGTCTGCCATCTTGCTGAATTATCCTGTGTCAAAGATGCTGTTATTTCCTGTGTTTAAACTTGTCCATAACATTAGTCAAAGGGCTTGTACCAACCCACTTACAGTGGCATATGCGGTTGGGCAATTGGATTTCTTAACCAAGCAATGAAAAAAAGGCAATTACCAAAAATCAGCATGAATGGCCAAGTCATGTCATAACATGAGAAACTGAAACTTTTAAATCTACATGTGTTAAGATTAAAGCATTATGTTAATTTCTAACCTTTAAGCTATCACTAAAAATATCAAATAATTCTCTAGTTTACAAGTCTATCGAGGCCACATAATGAATTTTAAAATTAAAACAAAATTGACAAACTGTTGAAATGATATAAAAGCCCAGAGACATTTTGTCTACTACTGCGGGAGAGAAAGGACATCTGGATTGGTTGAAATGAAGATGTTGCGGGACAGCAACCCCAGACCTGGAAAAGGACTTCAAAATCAGTGGCCATCAGGCACTGCCTTAACCTCAGTGTACCACTGAAGCTCTCTGAAATCCAAAGAATATGAGGTAGCAAAAGAACCACATATACATGCCAGACTTCACCTTTTTTGTGTCCCCTTGGCTAGCTTAGCAGCCAACTGCTCTTCTCTTTCGGTATGTCTCTGGTTCCTGTGCCCATTCCACTTCTTCTTTCTGCCCCTCTTGCCGCAGGCGTTTAAGTTCTCCCTCTCTTTTTTGAACTTTGATACAGTTTCATGAATCATCAGTATCTTGTCTGATAGTCATTGGCTTGGCATAAAGGTGTTCAGCATTTAGCAAGGAACAGAGCATCATCCTCAATATTGAATAACATCCGTTCAATTGGGAAACTTATCTTCTACTTTGTGTTTCATAGGACAAGTTCTCTTTGATTTCCCAGGAGTCTGTTTTGACCTCTGCAGATAGGTTGGAGTGAGAAAGCAAGCCTCTGCTTTTTTGACAATCCCAGGAAACATTGAAGAGGTTATAAATCCTTTGCATATCCCTTTAAATTTAGAAGCAGACTGACAGTCCCACACCCCCCTCCCCCACTCCCTGCTGCAAATTCCAGAATTTGGATAACACTGATCTTAAGATTAGTTTGGGGAAAATTGATTACATTACTAAGTCTTCTAAACTGTGAACATCATGTATCCCTCCAATATCTAGATTGTTTTAAATACATGCTAACCCACACTATTTTCTGAACATTCTATGCCATGAACCATTAGCACTTTACATAAATTGTCTCATGTGGTCTTCACAATAAAGCTGAGCAGTTCTAGTTTTATTTTCATTTCACAGATGGAGAAGCCGAAGCTTAGCAAGATTAAGTATCTTGCCAAAGGCCACAGTTAATAAGAGGTAAGCATCCAGGCACTCTACCTGCCGAGTCTGTAGACTTCACCACTATGCTGCGACACTAGCTCAGGGAGTGGGGAAGCAGTGGGGAGGAAGCAGGGAGGAAGCAGGGGGGAGAGAAGGAGGCATGGGTGTTTGGATGGATAGGTGGAAGGAGGGAGTCATTCAAGGGAAGGCAGACTGGCGGAAAAGTCCTCCAAGGTTTCTTGCATGTGCTCTTTCTCTGCTCTTCAGCATCTGCCTGCCTGGATGCATAATTACTTGTCCAAATAGCACCTGTCCTTCTCCCATTTCAGCACTGGCACAGGAAGTTCTTGTTTGTAAAACTTACTTCTCCTTCTATTTTGAATGTTAGCCTTGCTGGATAGAGTATGCTTGGCTGCAGATTTTTCCCACTCAGCTCTTTGAATATACCATACCTTCTGGCTTGCAGAGTTTGTGCTGAAAAATCTGCTGCTAGCCTTATGGGTTTTCCCTTATAAGTAACCATCTTCTTTTGTCTTGCTGCTTTTAAGATTTTTTCCTTATTGCTATATTTTGCCAGTTTAATTACAACATGCCTTGGTTGATTTTGTTGGGGATTTTGTTGGGGATTCTCTCTGCCTCCTGGATATGGATATCTGTTTCCTGCTCCAGATGAGGGAAGTTTTCAGCTACTATTTCTTCAAATGTATTTTCTGCTTCCTTTTCTCTCTCTTCTCCCTCTGGGATCCCTATTATATGAATGTTATTATGTTTGATGAAGTCACTGAGATCCCTAAGTCTGTTCTTGTTTTGCATAAGCCTTTTCTCTCTTGTGTTCAGCTGATTACTTTCTACTACTTTATCTTCTAGGTCACTAGTTTGTTCTTTTGCTTCTTCCATTCTGCCGTTCATTGCATCAAGCGTGTTTTCAATCTCATTTATTGCACTTTTTAAAATATCTGATTCTTTCTTAACTCTCTTCTCTCTGTGGTAAGGGTCTCCTTGAAGTTTTCCATTTTCTCCTCAAGTCTACCAAGCACTCTTATGAGCATTAGTTTAAATTCCCCATTAAACAGGTTACTTATACCTGTTTTTCTTAGATTTCTGGCTCTGGCCTTATTTTGTTCTTTCATTGGGGATAAATTCCTCCATTTTCACATTTTGTCTAAGTCTCTGCCTTCTTCTCTGTGTTAGAAGAGCAGGTTATGTCTGCTGCTCCTGAAAGCAATGGCCTTGTGTAGAAGAGGTCATGGAGTGCCCAGGGCCTGGGGCTTCAGGGAGGGTCTCTGGTGTGTGCTACATGCACTCTGCTGCTTGTTTTGGCTGCTCTGTCCTTCAGGCCAGTTGTCTGCAGAAGCTCTCCTTGCCTGCAGTGGGCAGTGTTTGGTCCTGATCTGAGCATGGTAAGTTTTAACTAGGTCTGCTTGTTAAATGAGACCTGATACTACTTCTAATAGAGCCGAAGCCCGGCAGAACTCTCTGGTCAGGAGATGTGGTGTGGGCAAGGGTTTGTGTTGGTCTTCTGGGACAGGGGCCCTCTGCCCCCTGTGCTGGGACTGAGTCATGCTTGCTGGAGTGGGGCAGTCCCACCAGACAGCAAGGGAGGAGCAGGAGAGCGGGGCTAGGCATAAGCAGGTTAGGCAGCCAGTGTCCCTCTGGGCTGCCTCCCCCAGTGGTTCCCTGTTTACGCTGAGGTAAGGGGGAGGGGGGAGGAGGAGGGAAATGGTGCTGGCTGGCTCCTTTGTTCCAGGAAAGTTCTCTGTGAACTGCCTCTCAGGAGAAGAGCAATGATCTCTCTTGTGTGCCCCAGGCCCTCTTCAGATCACTTTTCCCTATTGCTCTCCTGCTTACTTGCCCACTGGGAGCAGGGCAGCGCCCTCTGGCTCTATCCCAGCCAAGCCCTCCAACCTTTACAACTCCAGCCTTTAAGCCCTGCTGGTTGCAAAATCTCATGAAATTCAGCTCCTCTTGCTTCAGTAGCCAATGGCTTTGGGGAAACGTTCAACTTGTCTCCTGACACTCATCTCCTAGAACTTCTCTCTCTCACACGGTTCTCCGTGACTGCAGCTCCCTCCCCTCTGCAGCAGCCAGGATCCCTTCCCTCCCACCCCAAACCACATCTCCATGCTTCCTACCTTCTTCTTGTGGCCTTTTCTCCCCCTTTAGTTGTGGAGTTTGCTCTGCCAGTCTTCAGGTTGATTTCTGGGGTATTTAGGATGACCTGAGAGTTATGTGTTCCTATGAGCCCAGGGTCCTCCTCCTCCCATGCCATCTTTCCCCGCTCTTCCAACACAGGAAGTCCTTACCATGGCGGCTTCGTGCCAGCCACCCTTCCCCACATCCCCAGGGTGCTCCTGGCCAGAGGCAGCACAGGACAATCCCTCAACTGGTCATGCTGAACTCCTTACTCTGTAAGTCTCACCACATCACACAGATCTGGGTTTTTTTTGGAAGCCAGCTCCAGTCACAGTGGTGGATAAGGGATAGGGATGAGGGCTAGAGAGATTGAGCCTCTGTCGGGCATTAGGAGAGAACATCTAGAGCCCACACGCTGGGACTAGGAGTAAGGTAAGACCAGTTTTTGTGATCCTCTCTCTCTGTCTCTTATAGGATGGCTGTTCCATAAGATCAAGACTGAGTCCCCTCCCTTCTCCCACTTTACCAATGCCTGGTCTCATGGGGTTAGTTTTGAGCCCAACACTATGGCATCATCAACCTCCTCAGCTCCTCGCTCCCGGTCCAGGAAGCCTCTGGGCAAGATGGCTGGTGAGTGGAAATAGACTCCTAATTGTGTTCTTGTTCACAGCTATGAGTGTTAGCGAGGTGGAAGGCTGCCTGGGCCAAATGCAGCAGGAAATGCTAGGGAGGCTGAAGATAGAGGCCTCCTGCCTTGACCTCAGAGCCCAGAAGCTTTGTGGTGAGTGAGGAGAGAGGCACGCATCATAGAACATTCAGTCCTATGGGCTCACAGCTTTTGCACGCGTGCTGGGCTCATTTCCTAGCCTGGAAGCCATTGTGCTGAGCACCTAGCATCATGTTTCTGTCATCTAAGTCTTTCAGAACCTATCAGAAGAAGGAGCCAGGCAGAGTGAGAAAACAAATCTCTAAAACATTAAACTTTCTGTCCATATGAAAAGCTGGAGGGGCGCCTGGGTGGCTCAGTCGGTTGAGCGTCTCCCTTTGGCTTAGGTCATGATCTCGCAGTTTGCAAGTTTGAGCCCCACGTCGGGCCACAGCTCGGAGCCTGGCGCTTGCTTCAGATTCTGTGTCTCCTGCTCTCTCTGTCCCTTCCCTGCTCTTGCTCTGTCTCTCAAAAATAAACAAACATTAAAAAATAATTTTTTTTAAAGAGTCTGGAGAAGCTGAGCTGAAATCATTATGGAATACTTACAATATCCCAGACACGGCATTATCTCCATTAATCTTCAACAGCAATTAAAATGAACCCATTTTCCAGGTGAGGAAATGGAGACAGAGACTGACTTGCGTAGGGTCATGTAGAAAGCAAGCAGTAGGTCCACAATCAAATCTACGCCTGGCTCCGAAGTGTAGGTTGTGAATCACTAAGCTCTCTGCTCTTCAGGAGCTCTGAGTAGTAATCCTCTCCCATGCTTTTGTTTTACCACTTAGCAACAACACTCTGGGATTCCTCCGGGCCAGACAGATGCCAATCCCTCCCCTCTCTCCCTCCCATAACGGGTTGCCCACCTTAATCTAAATCCACCTCCCCTCAGTGCAGAGAGTGGGTTTGGGAACTGATTGATTCTTCCCAGCTTAACACAGCTCTACTTACAGACTAGCAGCAGACGGTTGGCTAGTCAGCGCTAGCGGGAAGTTCTGGGTAGCGTAAGTGGAGGGTACCAGAAATCGAAGGGCCTGGAATAGGGCAAAGCCATCTTTCCTAATCAGGTGGGTGAAACAGTCAGAGTTATTTCCTTTCCCTTTTTAATTTTCATATTGTTGTTATACAAAGGATTTTTTTTAATTTAGTTATTGAAGTATAATTAACATACATTATATTAGTTTCAAGTATACAACATAATGATTCAATATTTGTACATATTGCGAAACGATCACCAGAAGTCTCGTTAACATCCATTACCAGTGATAATTACAGAACTTTTCTTCTTGTGATGAGAACTTTTAAGGTTTCCTCTCTTGGCAACTTTCAAATATGGAAGACAGTATTATTCACTAGTCGGCATGCCGTTCATTACATTCTCATGACTTATAAAAGAGCCAGAGTTTTCGTGACTTCCAAAACGTTTGAAGATAATGGGACCTTAAAGCCAGTCCTGCAGGATGTACGAAATAGAGCAGTAGGTCTCTGAGAGCAATGTGGCATGGTGGCCAGAGCAGGGCGCTGGGCTGGGCTCTGTCCAGGGCAGCCTGGTGAGAATACCAAGCCTGAGTGGTGTTTCTCTCCCCACAGACTGGTTCAGGCAGGCCCTGTCGAAGAAGCCCAAGAAGATACTGGAATCCTCAGACGGCCCCTCCAGTGACGTCTCACAGCCGAGCTCCCAGGACCACCCCCCACGCCTGGGCCTCAGCTCAACCTCGTCTCCAACACACGTGGTCGCCAGCAGCAGCGGCAGCAGCAGCGGCCGCTGGAGCAAGGACTACGATGTCTGTGTGTGCCACAGCGAGGAGGACCTGGCAGCCGCCCAGGAGCTGGTCTCCTACCTGGAAGGCAGCACCGCCAGCCTGCGCTGCTTCCTGCAGCTGCGGGATGCAACCCCAGGCGGCGCCATCGTGTCCGAGCTGTGCCAGGCACTGAGCAACAGTCACTGCCGCGTGCTGCTCATCACCCCAGGCTTCCTGCAGGACCCGTGGTGCAAGTACCAGATGCTGCAGGCCCTGAGTGAGGCTCCCGGGGCGGAGGGCCGCACCATCCCCCTGATGTCAGGCCTCGCCAGAGCCGCCTACCCCGCTGAGCTCCGGTTCATGTACTTCGTGGACGGCCGGGGCCCCGACGGTGGCTTTCGCCAAGTCAAGGAAGCTGTCATGCGTTGTAAGCTATTAGGGGTAAGGGAGAATGGGAAGGTGGCTTCGGCCACAGCATCTGATCGACTTCGGCTTTTAGCAGACAGTCACTGTAGCCCAGTAGCTCAAGATGCAGGCTCTGGAAAAGGCTGGAAGTTATTCCAAGTCCTCTGTACTTGGGTTTCCCCACTGGTAAAGTGAGGACAGTATATACCTAAAGGAGTATATACACTAAACAAGTGTTCAGACTATGGCCTGGCACATGTAAAGTACTCATAATGGGCAGGGCCTAGCACCTGTCAAGCCTTCAGAAAATAGCCATTATCATTATAGGTATTAATAGTAGTAGGTATTAATGGTTTCTCTCTCTGAAGTCACGTTGGAGATGTTTCCCCAGGCCCAGGAAAATGCCAGGAGGGCCAGTGGTACAAAATAATAGGAAAGAATTGTGTATCTGGGGGTGGGGACTTGCTATTACGGTGGGTTTGGAAAGTGAAATAGATAAAAGGTAGAAGTGGCAGGACCCACTGCGGGAAACAGATGCTGGGGTCTGGGAAGGGTGACAAGCCCTGCCATTCTGTTTGGTCTCTTTCAGATCTGCAGACCATCAGCTGACACTTCTATCACCACGGGACCCAGAAAGTTGGAGCAAAGCCGGAAATCGAGTTAGAGAGCCCAGGGTCTCACAGGGTCTTGGATTTCGGCAGCTGTGACGAGGTGTAAGGAACCAGTCTGTAGCACTTTGTATGTGATCCTGGGCTCAGATTGCCCATCAGGCACCCATTACCGGGGACTCCCCCACGAAGGCCATGGGGAAGCTGGGGACTCCCCCCGAGGAAGGCATGAGGAAACTGGGGACTCCCCAGGAAGGCCATGGGGAAGCCAGAAATTGTAGGTGGTGGGAGGTGCTGATACCACGATGATCACCAGTGTTTTGCCTCCGGCACAACTGGACACATGAAGCCCCGGCACATGCCTACATCTCCCCCTGGAAAGGTCACTTACCTGATTCATGGGCTAGAAGCCTACACCGCATGCTTCAGAAGGGATGGTGTCCCCAGTTGCCTGGCATCAGGAGAAAGCAACAGGTACCGATCCTTCACACTCACACTACTGCCCTTCTCTTTCCCAGGGACGTTGTTCACTTCAGAAATCTACACGAAAGATGCATTCAGCGCTGTCCTGAATTTTTATTGCACGTGTCATTAAGACACATCTAGAAACCATTCTGAATAGACAGGAGGTGGCAGGGAGCAGCAGGGGTGGAGGCAAGGAGAAGCTCAGACCCTGCACCTGGGTCAGAAGCCCACCCACCGATGCTCTGACTCATGGGGGCCTCATCAAAGGTCTGACTAGAAGCCAAGCTTTTACAAGCTTCTTTATGTCTGCACTGAGACAGATGAGCTGTCTTCTTCCGGCAGATGACTGTGGGCCTTGTAGGACAAGGTTTCATTCACCTGTTCTCAATAAGTCTGTTGTTGAACCGAAATGAATTTCGAATACATTCCCCTGATGTGTACTTTTGTGCCACTTCTCTCACTTCTCCCTACCACGTCCCCTCCTTTTACTGGAAAAATTCATATACACACACACACACACACACACACACACACACACACACACACACACACACATATATACACGTATATATATATGTGAGATATAATTAATATATTAACATTAGTTTCAGGTATAAAACATGATTTGACATTTGTATATGTTGTGAAAACATTTTCTATTTTCATTATGCATTATTTTATTACATACAAAAAGACTAAAGAATATAATGTACACTCCTGTATATTCCACTCAGCTTAAGAAGCCCAACCTTACAATCCCTATGGTACTCCCTTTGTGCCTTTAATTACATTCTCCTCCCTTTTCCCATCAGAAGCAATCACCCTTCTGAATTTTGAATTCATCATTGTTAGCTTTTCACGTATACATCCCTGAGAACATATTTACTTTTACATGGTTTTGTACTGTATCTAGTGGATTATAATGTTCGTATTCTACAAATTCTTTTTTTTTTTTTTAACCATGTTAAGATTTATCCATGTGGATGCATGTAACGAACACCAGGAACTTCACTATGGTTCTATTATGTAAACATACCACGATTTAGCCACACATTCCTTTACAAACAGACATTTGGTTGTTTGCCATTTGTTGCTAGTAAAAACAATGAGTTTATGAAAATCTTTGTGCGTGTTTCCATGAGCAAGATTTTCTAGGACTTAGCCTAGATGGGGAACAGCTGGGTAGTAAATACACATCTTCAGTTTCGGTAGAAAATGCCAAATTTTCTTCCAAATTGGTTGTGTCAGTGTATGTTCCCACCATTAGTGTGTGAGATTTCCCACTTTTTCATGTTCTTACTAACACTTAGAATTATCGGATTGGAAAATGTTTGTTGACCTGGTGGGTGAAAACTGGTATCCTATTCTTTTCTTTTTAAACTGTTTTGGTGTGTGTGTGTGTGTGTGTGTGTGTGTGTGTGTGTGTGTGTGTGTGTGAGAAATTCTTTGTATGTCATAAACCGAAGAGAAAAATTTGACCAATACCCATATACCCATCACCTGGCTTCAACAATTACCAACTCAGAGCTAAGCTGATATCAACAATCACCCCACTCATTCCCTCCCCACCAGGTCCCTTTGAAGCAAATCCCAGGCATTATTTTATTCCTACATATCAAACTATGTATCTTTTTAGAAGTTTTCCCAAAAAATGTATCTTTTAAAGAACAGAATGCTTTATTTTTTAATATAAAACCTTTTACCTATTACTTTGTAGTCTTTGTTTTTGTATCTTATTTAGGAAATCCTTCCCTATTCCTGTATTTTCTTCTGGAGCTATTTCACATTTAGGTCTTTAATCCACCAGGATGCTTTGTTTGGGTTTTTGTTGTTCTGGGCTTATAAGTCAAAGGTCCAATTTCTTTTTCCCATTTGAATGGCCATTCTTTACTGACTATGAGTTTGTCCTTTCCTCCCACTGATTGTGATGTCACTGCTGTCATTATATTATCATGTGTGGGGGTCTCTTCTGTGTGTTTGTGAATCCCTGCATCAGTGGCACACTGGCTCACTTACTATGGTTTTTAAGGAAGTCACAGGTCACCTGGGTGGCTCAGTCGGTTAAGCGTCTGACTTCAGCTCAGGTCATGATCTCACGGTTTGTGAGTTTGAGCCCCACATCGGGTTCTGTACTGACAGTGTGGAGCCTGCTTAGGATTCTCTGTCTCCCTCTCTCTCTCTGACCTTCCCCCAACTCATGCTCTTTCTCTCTCTCTCTCTCTCTCAAAAATAAAATAAATAAACATTTAAAAAAATTCTTGATGTCTATTAGTTTTTTTACTAGGCTTATACTGAGCTGAGAGATTCATTTGGGAAGAACTGATTTTTCTTACATTGAATTTTTCTCTCCATAAAAATGGTGTGTCTCATTATCAATCTCTTTAAATGTATTTCAAGAAAAGTTTATAATCTTTTCCATTTTGGTCAGTCACTTTTACTAGATTTATTCCTTAGTACTTCATATTTCCTGTTGCCATTGTAAATGGTATTTTTATATTTTTTATCTATTACCAATAGGAAGGATCACAATTATTTTGCATATTGATCTAATAAGCAACCTGCTGAACTACTTATAAGACCATAGACTTTGCTGGGTTTCTATAAAGACAACCATATAGTTTGCAAAAGAGAAAAGCTTTAGTTCCTTGTCTTTCTGTGCCGCCTAGGATAACCAGCAAAGTGTTGAAAGTGACAATAGCGGCCATCTTTGTCTCACTTATGCTTTTGTTTTCATTTATTTTTAAATGTTTATTTATTTTTGAGAGAGCATGAGCGGGGAAGGTGCAGAGAGGGGGGGGACAGAGAATCCAAGGCGGGCTCTGCCCTGACAGCAGAGAGCCTTATGCAGGGCTTGCACTCATGAACCGTGAGATCATGACCTGAGTGGAAGTTGGACGCTTAACCAACTAAGCCACCTAGGTGCCCTTGCTTGTTCTCTTTGAAGGAGGCTCCATGCCCAACATGGGGCTTGAACTCATGAGCCTGAGGTGAAGAGTTGCATGCTCTACTAACCAAGCCAGCCAGGTGCCCCTAACATTAGACTTTCAAATGTTAAGCCAGCCTTGTATTCCTGGGGTAAACTCAATTTGGCCATGATGAATACAATATCTTTGTTATAAGTCACAGGTTTCAGATTGCTAACATTTTCTTTAGAGTTTTATATCTGTTCACATGTACAATAGGCCCATAATTGTCTTTTCTTATATTAACCCTCTCTGGTTGTGTTACCAAGGTTACACCAGCTTTATAAAATAGTTGGGGAATAGATGAAATGGGTGAAGGGGATTAAGAGGTACAATTGCCAGTTATAAAATAAAAGAGACCCAGGGATATAATGTAAGGCATAGGCAATACAGTCCATAACATTGTTAACAACTTTGCATGGTGACAGGTGGTAACTAGACTTACAGTGGTGACCATTTTATAACGTATATAAATATCAAATCACTTTGTTGTACACCTGAAGCTAATACGATATTGTATGTTAATCATTCATTTAAAAGATAGCTGGGGAGTGGTCCCTTTTTTCTATTCATTAAGATTTTAAGCTTGGAATTTATTAGTCCTTGAGTGTTCAGTAACCTCATCTGTCAATCGATTCGGGCCTAGCATTTTCTTTTTTAAAAAAATTTTAATGTTCATTTTTGAGAGAAAAAGTGTGAGTGGGGGAGGCGCGGAGTGAAAGGGAGACAGAGGATCTGAAGAAGGCTCTGAGCTGTCAACACAAAGCCTGATGCGCGGCTCAAACCCACAAACCGTGAGATCATGACCTGAGCTGAAGTCCGACACTCAACCGACTGAGCCATCCAGGTGCCCCCAGGCCTAGCATTTTCTTTATGGGAAGATTTAAAACCCCAATTTCAATGTCTTAAAGAGTTATAGATCTATTTAGATTTTCCGTTTCTTCTGGAGTCAATTTGGCATAGAGTAAAACAGTAAATGAAAAATACAAGACCAGCTTGAATAAGTTTTCAATTTCAATTTCCTGGACCAAGTAGAACAAATCTGAATTCTAAACCTGCATGAAGACTGGCCTGTGGTTATGAATATTCAGGGGATTTTTTTTTTCTTCCCACCACATCCAGATGTCGAGGCAGATAAATTTAAGTATCTCGTCTCCTTTAGGGGGACAATTTTTATTTAGTTTTTAATAGTTGGCCCTTTCACTGAGGTGGTGGACCTTAGAGATTTTGGCTCTAAGGGAAATGCTCTCTTCCAAGCCCCCGGGTCTTGTCTTCTGTGCCTTAAACATCACATTGAAAGCCCAAGGCTCTAGACTTCCAGAAATGACCAATCACTCTTAGAACTTAAGCTTCAGTGTCCACTTATCATCTTATAGATTCATGTTCCCACATTTTTCGTTGCTGAAAATTTTATTAAGACAGCAGCAATGTAACCAAATGGATGTTTTAAATTTTGCACCCAGGTGTTTTTAGCTGACCTGTTTTTAGGATGTTTTGTCTATCATAATGCATGAAATGGAAATGTCTAGTCTTTTTTTTTTTTAGTTTTTTTTAATGTTTCATTTATTTTTGAGACAGAGAGAGACAAAGCATGAGCAGGGGAGGGGCAGAGAGAGAGGGAGACACGGAATCCAAAGCAGGCTCCGGGCTCTGAGCTGTCAGCACAGAGCCCGACGCGGGGCTCGAACTCATGGACCCTGAGATCATGACCTGAGCCGAAGTCGGACGCTCAACCGACTGAGCCACCCAGGCGCCCCAAAATGTC